GTCCTCCGTGTGGCCCCCGGCCCGCGCTCTGCCCAAGCTCAAACCCGCTGCAGACGCTCAGGTACCGGCAGGCTGAAGCGGGGAGCCCGGCCCCCCCCCGGAGCCGCCCCCCGCCACCCCCTTGCCGGCCTCAGCCTCCAGCAGCCGGAGCAGCAGCCCCTTGGCCCGGCCGCGGAGGTGCCGGCAGGAGGGCGGGGGGCCGCCCCGCAGCGCGCCCAGCAGGCCGGGCAGCTCCTGGGGCAGGCGGTAGGTGGGCAGGGGCCGCAGGGGCCGCGGCACGTCGCGGGGGCTGCAGAGCCGGCTGAAGTACACCAGCACCCAGCCCCGGCCTCTCTCCGCCGCCCCCAGCTCGCCCTGCAGGCACGCCATGGCCGCCCCGAAAACATCGTGTGCGTCGCGGGGCTCCCCCCCGCCTTCACCCCCTCGCCATAAGCGGAAGAGCCGAGAGCTGCCCCGGCTCCAGAGCAGCAGGACGGTGCCGCGCTCGCGGCCCACGTGGCTGCGCTGAGCGTAGAGCCAGGGAAGGGCCCCCGCCCGACCCACGCCGCCCGTTTCCCACAGGTCCAGGCGCACCTCGCAGCCCAGCCCCACGCGCAGCAGCTCGGCCAGGGCGCACACCAGTGCCAGGTGCTCCTCCGAGTCAGGAGAGTACAGCAGCAGCACCGGGCGGCCACGTGCTGCCTCACCTGCGGGACAGAGGGGACAGCAGTGACCGCCCTGCTCTGAGCAGCCCCGGTGGAACTGCAGCGTCCCACTGCCCCGGGACCTTCCCTGTCCCTGCAGCGTCCCAGCCCTCGGGGTGCCCCGGCCCCTGCCCAAACCGCTGCTCCTCACCATTAGGCATCCTCCAGGTGCTGCGGCAGTTCAGGAGCAGCACGGTCACCACCAGCCCCAGTGCCAGCACCAGCCCCAGCAGCCCGAAGTGCCTGTGTGAGACTGGGAGAGGGGCAGTGAGTGGGCAGCCACGACACCCTGCCCGATCCCTGCCAGCCCCGGGGCTTCGCTTACCATCGGGACACAGCAGCTGCTTGCGGGCAAAGCGCACATCTGAGCGCCAGACCTGGGTGGGGAAGGAGATGGATGAGGGGGACAGGACTTGGGGTTTGGCCCTCCCACCCTGATGCGGGCAGCACAGCGGGGCTGGGGGTCACCTTACCAACACGCAGCTGCCCAGGACCTGCACCGGCAGCAGCAGCGCCAGCTCCCCTGGAGCAGAGCTCTCCGGCTGCAAAACACGAGGCAGGGTCAGCGTGGCAATGCTTGTCCCCCTGAGCTCCCTTGTCCTACATCACTCACCCGCGTGACGGTGTAGACGGGAGCCTCGGGCTCACAGCGCCCGCCGCGGCGCTGGCACAGTGCTGCACTGAAGGACGCGGGGACACGGGAGGTGAGGCACAGGCGGAGCTGCAGTCCCCAGGCACTCAGGGACACGTTCCAAGCAGTGTCTGGTAAAGAGAGAGCACACACCATAGCATGATGGGGTGCCTGAGGGAGAAGGGACAACATCCCAAATCCGTGGGCTCACCTGTGCGGTGGGGGCACTCCACGTGGCTGCTGTTCCCATAGGAGAACTGAGGAGGGGACATAGGGTCAGCTGTGCACCTTGCCTGGCACCTCCCCAGCCAGTAACAACCCCGGGGGCTTACCCTGAAGCAGAGCAGGGGGTGCACATCCACACTGTCCAGCGTGTACGCCTGGCAAGGAACAGAGAGAGTGTCACCATCTGTCCCTAGGGACGCACTGCACCCTTGGACATCCCGGGGTCCAGTGGGTGCCCTGCAGTCATGTCCCCTCACCTGATCCTCCTCACTGGCTGTGGAGTTGGGGACATTGTGGCATGGTGCAGTTTCAGCTGCTGCCTCCCTCCAGCACAGGGTGGCCCGGGGATGCAGGGGACAGCTGGCACTCAGCACCATGGCCATCTGGTCCTTGCTGCTGTAGTCATGGAAGTGCACTGAGGACCACAGGTCAGGGCCATCTGTGGGGATGAGATCAATAGGGTGGCCAGGAGACAGTGTGCCCTCCCCAGCGTCCCTTCAGGCACTCACAGGCGTCTGGCCGCTCACGGAAGGGGCAGCGCTTGCTGCGCAGGCTGTCATGGTGTGGATAGGAGGCCTGGGGAGCAGAGCACAGCACCATGTGTCTGCCACCCACGTCCCATCGCTGTGGGGATGGGTGTGCACAGGGGTGCAACGGGGAACACACCTCAACACAAAGGCAGGGCACCAGGAACTCATATGGCAGTGAGACGTGGTGGCCGCCCGGCACCAGGAGCTGCAGGCACAGAGGGAATGTGAGGATGCTGGGAGTGCAGAGACCCCTGGGGACTGCATCCTGCTGGCTGTTACCTGGCGGTGGAAGGGCTGTGGCAGTTCCTCACACTCCAAGGCCAGCTGATGGCACAGCCGCACCACCAGCGCAGGGCCCTCGGGCACGGCCACCTCGATGGCCCGCACTTCAGGGAGCCAGGTGTGGGTGAAGACGGGCCCTGGGAGCACAGGGAGGGTCAGTCGGTGCCAACCCCTACAAGCACCCCATTCCCTTCCAGCCTTACCCTGCAGCTCGATGGCAACCACGTGGCTGCGGCTGATGGCCAGGCCTCTGTCAGGGATGGTATGCAGGGTGACCAGGACCCGCCGCCCACTTTCTGCCGGGAAGCAGTCGAACTGAACCTGCCACTATGGGGTGCAGGGGGTGAGTGCGGCCCAATCTCCCATCCCCATCCCTGCGGCGTGCCCTGCACTCACCAGCACATCGCCTGGTGCCTGGTGCCGCCGCCACACCTGCAGCCAGCCGGCCCGGTTAGAGCCCAGCTCCAGGAAGTTGAGCTGCAGCCCGTGTATTCCTGCGGGACACCGGCAGCTGCTGACACGGGTGGGACGATCCCGCAGCCAGGGTGTCCCCTTCCAGGGTTCCCCCAGCGGGACAAGGAGGGCCCCATCCCAGAGCACAGCTCGTACCTGCGGCCGAGACGGCCAGACGCACCCGCAGGCAGGGCTGGCAGGGCAGCGAGGGCTGGCACAGCCGCGCCGTGCTCAGCGCCAGGGCGGGCGGGGTCAGCGGGGGCCCGGTAGGGTCTTCCCGGCGGCAGCGGGGCCGGGTCAGCATGCTGTCGGCTGCCGGGAGAGGAGAGGAGCCGTGCACGGGGCCATCCCTCGCACCGGGAGAGTCCTCGCGAAGGGGATCCCCGCGCACCGGAATCGCCCGGCGAGGGGGATCCCCACACACAGAGATCCCCTTACAAAGGGGAACCCCGCGCACCGGGAACAGCCCCGCATCGCCCCTCTCCAAGTCTGACTCCGATCTCGGCCCCACCGGGGGGCCCCCACCCTGGCCCGCCCCGCCGCCGCCGCTCCGCACACCGGGAGCACAGCCCCGCGGCCCCACTCACCGTTGGCCCGGCACTCCTGCAAGCAAAGAGACGGGGATCAGCGCGGCCCCGCCCGCCAACCCCCGCTCCCCATTCCCTTTTCCCCGTTCCCATTGCCCCGGCGCTCACGAAGTTGGCGGAAACCCGCGGGCGGGGCACGGCAGGACGGGCGGGCGGCGGCAGCAGCAACAACGCGGCGGCGGCGAGGAGAGCGACGGAGCGCACCGGGCAGCCCATGGCCGAGTGCCGTAGCCGAGCTCCGCTCCCACCTCCGGTGTCGGCTCCCCGCCCCGGGCCGGCCCCGCCGCATTCCTCCGGCAGCACGTGCGGCCCCGCCCGCGACCTGATTGCGGCGGCGCAGACACGAGTGGGAAAGCACGGGAGGGGCTTTATTTCCGTACGGTGACACGCGATCGCAGCCCCAGCACCGGGCTCAGCCCCGGAGACCTCCGCACCCGCAGCAGCTGCCCTGCAGCACCGCCCCCGAACGCTCCACGCGTGGCACACAGAGCCTCCACCCAACTCCCTCATTTCTTCTTCTTCTCCTGCGTGCTGGTGAACCAGGAGTCCAGCAGCTTCTTGCTGTAGTAGAGTTGCCAGCCGTGCACCTGGGCGGCCACCACCACCACCAGGTACATGACGGAGACAGCGGAGAAGCCAAAGATGAAGCGGTACGCCTTGCCGTGCCGATAGAGCTGCTGAGCCATAGGGAACATCTCCATGGCCCCGTAGATGAGTGGTGCCACAGAGAAGAGCCCGGCGCTGATCATGGACAGCACCAGGTAGCTGATGTTGTTGCGGGGGAAGGAGAGCAGGCCCAGGAGCGAGGGCAGGATGCTGAGCAGGTAGGGGTATTCCCACTGGTAGGGCATGGCCACGCGGTCATGGGGCAGCAACTTGAGGTGCCCCACACACATCTGTGCCAGCAGCAGCAGCCACAGCCCCACGTGCACGTAGGTCAGCTTCTTGATCTCTGACTTCAGGGCCACGCTGTGGGGACACGGCATGGTCACAGCACAGCTGGGACACGGCTCTGTCACAGCCTGGTGAGATCACAGCCCCATCACGGCCCGGCATCGACACGGCTTTGTCACGGCCGTGATGGGGATGCGGCTCGGAGGGGCATCACCCTGTCACGGCCCCGATGAGGGCACAGCCCCGCAGTTTGGGGAGCAGAGGCTCCGTGACACCCACCTCATCTGGTAGTGCGAAGCCACGCGCTCCCGGTGCCGGTAGTCGCTGCCATCGGTGCCAGCAGCACGGGGCCCACCTCGAGACGCCATAGCTGCCTGCAGGGACACAGAGCGAGGGGACCCCCAGGAGGACCCCTATGGCCTCCATCCCACCTTCCCGTGACCACCCACCCATGACAGCCGCAGGGATACCGCAGGGCGCGGTACCCCCCGGCCTGCCACCGCCCCCAGACCCGCCCTCCGCACCTCGCCGCGGGCGCCGCGCCCCGCCGCACCCCACCTGCTCACCGGGCTGAGACGCTCTACCCGCACTTCCGGTTCTCTATGACCGCCGCTTCAGCCCAAACGGCCTCAGGCGGGCGGCCGGTCTATACGCCCGGAGGCTCGGCTCTATGGTCAAAGCGGGGCGTAACGCCCTGCGGTCCGCCCGCCGCGCAGGCGCACTGCGGGCCATGGCGGGTTGCGGCGGTGCCGCGCGCGTGGCGGCGCGCGTGGGGCAGGGGGCGCGCGCCGCGGGGTGAGCTGGGGGGGGGGCGTGCTGCTGTGTGTGCACTGCTGTGTGTGTGCACTGCTTGTGTGTGCACTGCTTGTGTGTGCACGGGGCTGCGGAGGTGACACGGTGTGACACGAGTGGGTGCGCTGATGTAGGTGCACGGGAGTCGTGGGCTCCGTGGGGAAAGGTGCGGAGGCACGGGAGACACGCGGAGGTTCACACGCGTGGGGACACGGAGCGTGGGGGGAGGCGGGGGAGTCTGGCGTGTGCCCCATCTCATTCTCCCCGCAGGAAGGGGCGACCGCTGGGTCCTGAGGCCGCGCTGGGGCTACTGGAGGCCTCGGTTGTGCACCGGGAAGGTAAGGGAGGAGAGGGGCTGGACACGGGTGGGTGTCGGGTGATCAAGAGTGGGGACTGAACCTTCTGCCGCCCCGCAGGAGCCCTGCTGGCTCTAAGCAAGCCCACTGATCTGCCTGTTCTGGGTGAGTGCTGGGGGGGCTGATTTCTCCGGGAGGAGACACATCTGGTGCTGACCTCCACACCCCCAGGGCACCCCGGGGAGCTGAGCCTGACCGCGCTGCTGCCTGCACTACGCCGACGCCTGGGGCTGCCTGCAGAGCTGCACGTGGTGAAGGCACCTGCCAGGTATTGGGGGTGGGTCTGGGATTTGGGATGGTGAGGTCCCAGGGGGGCTCAGAGATACCATGTCTAATAGGGAATGCTCCGGCCTCGTGCTGCTGTCTGCCTGCCACCGTGTCACCGAGCAGCTGCAGCGCTCCTTCACTGCCGCCCGACGCAGGGGGCAGTTCCCAGCCACCTACAGGTGAGTGTCCCCCCCACGTGTCTCCCTCCCCAAAAGCGTGAGGCTCTTCCCTCTTATTGTGTCCCTTCAGCGCTGTCACTGTGAGGGTCCCGGCAGAGGCAGAGGGTGAGATCCGTGTGGGGCTGTGCTGGCAGCAGAAAGGGGACACAGCTGTGGTAAGGGGCACATGGGGGGATCTGGGAGGAGTGGGGAGCAGAGGGTGGTGCTGAGGCTGTGTCCCCACCCCCCCCAGGTGGTGGCAGTGCCATCCCCAGGACACTGCAGCTTGTCCCGCAGAGAGGTGAAGAGCACCCTGACCCGCTACCGCCTGCTGGGAGCAGCAGGGGGCTGCGCTTTGCTCCAGCTGCAGCCTCGCACGGGTGAGTGCCCCCCCTACTCTCCCCCGGTACCACCACCCCACAGTGCCACCAACCCCACACCCATCTCTCCTCGCAGCTTTCCCCCAGCAGCTCCAGGTGCACCTCGCACTGCTGATGTGCCCTGCGCTGGGTGACCACAAGCACGCATCCCGCGTGGGCACAGTGCTTGGGGAGCCTTTCCTGCTGCCCCCCCAAGAGACCACCACACCCCGCACACAGGTGAGCAGCACGATGGAGGGGGACTGCTGCCCTGTGCTGCACTTTCCTAGAAAAAATTATTCCCCACAGGTGCTGGATGCAGAGCTGATGTCCCGGCTGCAGCTGTCCCCACACCACCGCCTGCCCCTGCACCTCCACCTGCAGCAGCTGGTGCTGCCCCACACAGTGCTGTGTGCTCCCCCCCCTCCCCACTTCCTGCGCACCCTACGTCTGCTGGGGCTGCCCTCCCCGCCTCTCCCTCCCCATTAAATCTCGGCGTGCCAACAAACAACATTTATCTGTCCTATTTGCGCTCCCCACATCTTTCCTGTGTAACCCCCCCGGGGGTTGAGTCAGCGCTGGTAACCGCAGCCCTCTCCCTCCCCACGACCCAGTTCCCATCTGGAGCGGATGTCGGGGGAGTCTCTGGCAGCCCCAGCTCCTGCTCACAGCCCTATTGCTTCAGGTTGGGGGGGCTGACAACATGTCCCTCCCACAGCCTCCCCAGTATGAAGGCTCACAGCTCACTCCCACTCACAGATTTATTTCTGCCAAGAGGGGTGGGGGCATAGTGGGCCATCACCACTCCTCTTTGTCCCCCCCTGAGCCCTCCATCCCTCCTCCGTGCCATGGGGCCGAGTGCCCTGCAGCAGGGGCAGGGGGCCAAGGTGGGGGAGAGCTCCCTGGATGGGCACACGGGGACGGCCACTCAGCCCTCTGAGCCGGGGCAGAACCCCTGGGGGCTGCCTGGGCCGCATCTCCGCAGCATACGGGGGGGCCCTGTCCTCTGCTTTTCCTGCTGCAGCCAGGGAGCAACGAGCGCGGCGTGGTCTGCGCAGGGAGCTGCCTTCCACCTCCAGCTTCAGCCCCACGTAGTGCACGGTGGGCACGGCTGCCTGTAGGGGGGATGTGGGGAGCACAGGGCTGTGCCGCCCTCCCCACAGTCCCCTACCCCCCCTCGGCTCCCCACCTCACCTGCTTATAGATGAGCTCAAAGGCTCCTGTGGGGCACTCGGGGTCATCCCGGCGGTCGATGACAACTCTCAGTGTGTCGCGCTGCACCCCGGCGCACAGCCGGCCCGTCACTGCCGTGTTGCCCGCCATGGTGGGGCTGGCGTTGATCTCCAGCAGCCAGGGATGGAAATCCTCACCGAAAATGAAATCGGCCCCATAGAGCTCAAAGCTGCCCTTACGGCCCCGCACCAAACCCTGCGAGCACCGCACCGCCCGCACCACCGCCGCTTTCATGCCCGGCACCATCACCTCTGCCCAGGCACCGGCTTGGCCCTGCTGTGCCAGGTAGGCCTGCAGCTGGCGGCACGACCACGTGTTGTCTGCTGGCAGCTGTGGGTGTCGGGATAACCCCTGGCGGCAGTGCCGCTGCACTGCTTGGTTGCAGAGGTGGACGGCCCTGGGGGGGAGAGATAGCAGCCTTCAGTTGGGTATTAGGAAAAATTCTGTGGCAGAATGAGCGGTGAGGCACTGGCACAGGCTGCCCAGGAGGGTCATCATCCCTGGAGGTGATCAAGGATTGCGTATGTGTGGCACTGAGAGTCGTGGCTATGGGCACGGCGGTGGGCTGTGGTGGGAATAGACATCTGAGAGAGCAGGAGGAGGGAGGGACGGACACACGGAGCATGGAACCGCACTCACGCATCCAAGCAGTGCAGGGAGAATGGCTGCGAGCAGAAGCGCAGGTAGCACTCGCGGTAGAACCAGATGGTCAGCGGGTTCCAGTCGGTCACCAGGAACCACTGCCGCACGTCGAACTTGGTGCCAAAGATGAGCAGCGGCCGCTCCACATATTTCTGCACCACCCAGCGGCCCTCCCGCCCCATGCTGCCCGCCAGCTGCAGCAGCTGGTCCAGCCGTGCCGCACACACGATGCCTGCGGATGCGACAGCATGTGGGGACCCCGTGGCGCATGGGGACCCCCGGACCACCCCCAGTCCTACCTCTGCCCCGGGATGCAGCCCCGGGTTTGAGGATCCAGACGTTGCGCTCGCCCTCCATGTGCAGCTGGGGCAGCTGCCCCGCCAGGCCCTGGAGCAGGCTGCGGCCCCGTTCCTGCTGTGCCATGCTCAGCTGCAGCACGGTCCCCTCGCTGAGATACAGGGGGCTCAGCCACTGCCTTTCCACCCTTCCCCACCCCTCTGCCAGCACTCACTGCACCACGCGGTAGTAGCCCTGCAGGAAGCTGTCCCAGCCGGGGCTGTGGGGCTGCATGTCCCCATCGATGTCTTGGTGGGCCATGCTGTCCAGGTGCCCCCTGCACACCCGCAGCGCCTCCTCCACCAGCTGTGGGGGCAGTAGGGGGGCCGGCCCCTCTGCTAGGGGGGTAGCACAGAGTGAATGATGAAGCACTGCGCCATGCCTGGGGGGGGGGGCCTTGGCACCTCACCTGGAGCATCACTGGGTTTTGGGGATGGGTCCAGCACTGTATGCTCAGCCTCAGCCCTTTCCAGGGCCACTTTGAGCAGGCTGCGCGCGGCAGTGAGGCGGAAATCCTCTGCAGTAAGAGAGGAGGCATTGCCCAGCCCAAAGCTATGCTGGGGATGTGGGAACTGTGAGCCCATACCACATCAGCCCCCAGCTCACCAATGAAGGCCTGGCGCTCATCCGCAGCGCCCAGCCGGTAGCAGCGAGGGAAGAAGGTGTCAGGATCGGCTTGGTCGAACCAGGGCAGGTTGCGCAGGGTGAGGCACAGCCCCTCCTGTGTGGAAAAGGATGGCAGCCCCAGCATGCACCCTGTGCCCCCCTGGGGAAGGTCCCCGTGCCCCCACCTTGGTGGTGAGGCAGCCGCCTCGGGCATAGTGGTTCACCATCTGGTCCGGCCGCAGGACGCATCTCTCTGCAGCACTGCAGCGGCTGCTCCAGATGAAGTAGGGCACCTGGTCCTGCACCATGCGGGACTGGGGGGCAAGAGCCTGAGTGAGGTGGGACCCTCCCTCACCCCACTTCATCACCCCCACCCCACTGAGGGATCCCCCTGCATCGTGTTGGGGACTGCAGCCTTCCTTGCTACCATGAGCTCATGGATGCCATCAGGGTCGTCCTTGTTCATCTGTTCTTCCTTCTCCTCCTCCTCTTCCTCCTCCTCCTCGTTGGGCAGCCACATGGAGCACAGGGACTCCAGGGACGGCTGCACCCCATGCTGTTCTGTGCTGAGCTTGGCATTGCCACCACCTGCCTCCTGCTGCTGCACCCTGCGGGGTGCCTTTCTCTCCACCCAGCCCCGTGCGCGTAGCAGGCGGCGGATCACAGGGTAGCGGCCCTGCACCATGAAGATCTTCTTCTCCTAGGTGGGGAAATGCTGTGGTTAAGCTTCCCACCCCGGGGAGCTCAGCCCTTGTGCCAAGTGAAAATGGGTGACACTCTGACAAAGAGCAGGCCCTCACCTTGATAGCCTTCTCCACCTGCAGCTTGGCCAGCTTCAGCTGCTTGGGGCAGAGCCAGGGGCGGCTGCAGTCTGTAAGAGTCCAGAGACCCGTGGGACAGCCTCAGAGCCCCACTCAGGCAGCATATACCCTCACGTTCCCTTGTTCCTGAAGGGCAGAGAGCAGGCACCCACCTGCCCGCACTTGCTGCACCTTGCTGGATGCCTCTGCTGCAGCATTTGCCACCTTCTCAATCCTCATGCCAGCACCACAGCCTCGCAGTGTGCCCACCAGGAACTCCCCTCACTGGGCTGCGTGCCCAAGGTCCTGCTCTCGAGTGGGTGAGGTGTGGGGCAACCTGGGGGTGAGGGAGGCTGCTAGCAGCTCTGTCCCACTCCATGCAGTGCAGGGGATCCCCCTGCGCTGTGTCCTCACCCAATGGGGGATGCAGGGGGCTTCCAGCACCCCTAAGCTCTACATCCTCTCCTGTGGCCCCACACCAGCTGCTCCCCCATCACCTGAACCTGCGCCACCCCCAAACCCTTCCCGCAGGCCGCTCTGTGCTCCATCCTACCCAGCACCCACCCGGACCACACCCACTCCTTCCAGCACCGGCGGGGATGCCCCCACTGTTTACTGTTGTCATGGTGCCGCTCCGGGCCCCGCCCCCCGTCCCTTTCCCCGCCCCCTCCTGCCCTATAGCCCCGCCCCCCGGCATTTCCTTCCCCAGCAATACAGCAGGGAGCCGGGGCGTACAGCAAGTAACTCTTTATAAAACACAATGCAACAGGACAGGGAGCAGGGCCGCCTGGCCCCACGCACGCACAAGCCCGGTCCGCCCCCGCCCCGGCCAGCGAGGAGACGGGTTTGCAGCCAGGGGCCCAGCTTTCCTTCTCCAGAGCAGGAGAGCCCCGGCATGCGGCTCTGCACAGGCACCGGGAAGCCACGGAGTCACGGCACGGCCTAGAACTGCAAAGCAAGACAGAGGGCAGGTGCCCATCAGCACTGCAACGTCCCACACCACATCTCCCAGCTCTGCCCACCCTCAGCCCACTTGGAGGGTCTCAACGCCAGTGGAAGAGTGAGCACCAATGCTTACAGGCATCCCCCCCCATGTCCCAGGATGGGCACAAACTGCACCAAAGCACCGCCACCTCCCAACCATGGGTTCTGCCTATGAGGACCGTACTCCACTGCTGAGAGAAGGAACATTCCCAGAGCCTTACATTCTTGAGGAATTCCTCTGCCACGATGCGGGCCCTGGCGTTGACAGAGAGCTTCATCTCGCTGATCTCCTTGTCAATCTCCTCCATGAAATGAATCACGAAATCCACAAGCTTGTGCTTGTACATCTGCTCCGTGTGGAAGTTAGTGATTAGGAAGCTGATGTCATAGCCCTGAGGAAGAGAGGAGCAGTATGAGAGCTATGTAGCAACGCACAGTGCCAGTGCAGCCCAGATCTGCGCTGCAGGCCCATGGGAGCAGACCTGGGAGCTGCTCTGCTGCCACCCCCTCACCTCCACAGGCTTCCTGCGTAGGATGAAGAAGTTCTCAGCCCTCATCATCATAAAGCGCATGAATTTGTGGCACAGGATCTTCTCGATCTCATCAGCCTGCGGAGAGGAAAGGGAAATGAGGCTTCCTCACACGAGCGCAAGCTGCCAGCCCACTGCCCCTCCCCAGCCACCCCGGCCCCACACCTGTTTGACAGCGATGCTGACGCGCACAGAGTTGATGGAGCCCTCAATGAGCACCTTCTCCTTCTCATTCCTGCTGATGATCACTGGCTGCAACAGGAGCTCCTTGCTGCTCCTGTGGGAGCAAAAGAAGGCCACAACTGAACAGCAGGGAAGCACTCACAGCTCAGTGCTCGCTGGCACGTGGGTGGGGAGCTACAGGGATCCCAGAGACGCAGAGCGTTTCCTTCACTCCCACATCAGGATCCCCCTCCTGCTCCACAGCTCCCCCAGCACTCGGTGGGCGGCAGTGGCTGCAGGGCATGGGGTGAAAGAGGTGAAGGATGGGGACTGTAGGGCAGCTCTGGGCTGGGAGCAATCCGGGGCAGGGAGCGTCCCTCTGCTACCGGGTCTGCTGGGGCTGGGGTTGGCGGGAGCCGTACCTGACCTCCACCTCGGGTTTGTTGTGACGCTCCACCACCTGCGAGGAGAAGTTTTCCAGGCACAGGGCGGCCTGCAGCGTGGCACGCACCGCGTTCAGGTACGGGCGCAGCGTGGCGGTCTGCGGGGCACAGCACAGCGTCAGCGCCTGGGCCCATCCCCACATCCACCCCTACCCCTACCCCCATCCCTATCTCTATCCTTATCCTTACCCTTACCCCCATCCCCATCCCCATCCCCATCCCCATCCCCATCCCTACCCCCACGCCCATCCCCTTCTCTCCCGGCCCCAGCCCAGCCCTGCCCGCTCCCCTCAGCCCATTCCCGCCCGCGCCCCACCATGGTGACGGCTCCGGTCCGGTCCGGGGAAGCGGAACCGGAAGTGGCCGGTCCTCTCTTCCGGGATGCGGGGGAATCCCCAACCCGACAGGTGGGAGGAGGAGGGAGGTTCCCGCTCCGTGCTCCGCTCCCGCCCGGCCGCCTCAAGGCCCCTCCGCGCCGCACCGAACGCTCTGGGCGCTACGCGGCGCACGGCAGTGCAGTCCGTCAGGGAGCGCGGCGGCGGGGCCTCGCGGCGGCGGCGTAGTCCCGCGAGATCCCCCCCCGTGATCTCGCCGGTCTTGGTGCGCTCCTGTCGGCGCTTCCATATTAGGAAAGGAAGAAGGAGAGCCGGCCGAGCCAATGGGCGGCGTGCGCCGGGCGGGGCTGAACCAATGGGGAGCGCGGGGCGGGGCGAAGCGGCGCGCGGCCTGCGGGGGCCGGAAGTTGGCGAGCGGCCGTATGTGGAGCTCGGCCCCCCCCGGCGCCGCGCCCCGGTCCTGCCCCCCGCCGGGCCCCGCCCGCCCCCCGCCGCGCCGCGCGGCCCGCCGAGCCCTCCGGCCCGCCCCCTGAGCCCCGGGGCCCCGCTCCCTTCGCTCTCCGGTTCCCCCCTCCGGTGCCGCCATGAGCGAGCTGAAGGACTGCCCGTTGCAGTTCCACGACTTCAAGTCGGTGGACCACGTGAAGGTGTGCCCGCGCTACACGGCCGTGCTGGCCCGCTCCGAGGACGATGGCATCGGCATCGAGGAGCTGGACACGCTGCAGCTGGAGCTGGAGACGCTGCTTTCCTCCGCCAGCCGCCGCCTCCGTGTCCTGGAGGCCGAGACACAGGTGTGTTGTCCGTGTCCGCGACCCCCGTGTCCCCGTCACCATCCTGCACGCGGGTCCCAACATGCTGTTGCTCTTTTCCAGATCCTGACGGACTGGCAGGACAAGAAGGGCGACCGGCGTTTCCTGAAGCTGAGCAAGGACCACGATGTGGGCACCTCTGTCAAGCACGGCAAGCCCAAGAAGCAGAAGCTGGAGGGCAAAGGGGGCCACGGGACAGGGCCTGGGCCCGGCAGGCCTAAGTCCAAAAACCTGCAGCCCAAGATCCAGGAGTACGAGTTCCAGGATGATCCCATTGATGTGCCACGGATTCCTAAAAACGATGCTCCGAACAGGTGCATGGGGAGTTGGGGGGGCATTGGGATTGGCTGTTTCCTTCCTTGCAGTGCGGGAGGGCACGAGCTGCTCCCATAGTGCCCCTCACATTCCCCCTCACCGTTATTTCCCCGCTCTGGCCTCACAGGTTCTGGGCATCAGTGGAGCCGTACTGCGCCGATCTCACGAATGAGGAGGTCAGGGTCCTGGAGGAGCTGCTCAAGCCTCCAGAGGATGAGGCTGAGCACTACAAGGTGACAAACTCCACAGCCCCCAGCCCATGCTCCCTCACCCCATACCCTACCCTTCACTGTCCATCCCTCAACTCTTGGGCAGGCTGAGCAGTCTCACCTCTTTGTGAACATTGCACATGGCCTCTGAGGTGGTGCAGCTAAGCACAACCCCAGCCCCGTATTGAGCCCCTGGCCCATCCTGCATTGCAGATCCCACCACTGGGGAAGCACTACTCACAGCGCTGGGCTCAGGAGGACCTGCTGGAGGAGCAGAAGGATGGTGCCCGGGCAGCAGCGGCAGCTGACAAAAAGAAGGGTGTTCTGGGACCACTGACTGAGCTGGACACCAAAGGTGTTGTCCCATTCCCTAGCAGTAATGGACTGCACTGAAGCTGTGGGGTGAGATCAGGGGGCTGGCATCCAGCTCTCACAGAACCAGGTCTACTCACAACTTTCTTCCTCCTGCATCCCCCCAGACGTCGATGCCTTGCTGAAGAAGTCAGAGGCCCAGCATGAGCAGCCTGAGGATGGGTGTCCCTTTGGGCCCCTGACACAGCGTCTCCTTCAGGCCCTGGTGGAGGTGAGGGGGCCGGTTCTGTGCAGTGGCCCTGTGAGGCACTGTCACTGCATCAGGGCGAGGTGAACCTTTCCCACATGCTCTGCTTGCCAGGAAAACATCATCTCCCCTGTGGAGGACTCGCCCATTCCTGAGATTGCTGGCAAGGACTCAGGAGCCGACGGCGCTGGCACTTCTCCCCGCAGCCAGAACAAGCCCTTCAGGTGAGCTGCTGTGGTGCCATGAGGCTCAGTGCTGCCTGGCACTTTCTCTGCCGAAATTGGGGCAGAACGTGGGTGCTTCAGAAAGCATCCACTCCGCCCCTCTCAGCGTGCCCCACACCAAGTCGCTGGAGGGGCGGATCAAGGAGGAGCTGGTGGCCCAGGGCCTGCTGGAGTCAGAGGACCGTCCTGCCGAGGACTCAGAGGATGAGGTCCTGGCCGAGTTGCGCAAGAGGCAGGCAGAGCTGAAGGCACTCAGCGCCCACAACCGCGCCAAGAAGCACGAGCTGCTGCGGTGAGTGTGGGCAGGGCACGGGGCCAGGTGCAGTGCTGGCGGCACGAGCTGATGTCCTCTGTCCCCAGGTTGGCCAAGGAGGAGCTGCACCGGCAAGAGCTGCGGCAGCGTGTCCGCATGGCCGACAACGAGGTGATGGACGCCTTCCGCAAGATCATGGCTGCCCGGCAGAAGAAGCGCACTCCCACCAAGAAGGAGAAGGACCAGGCGTGGAAGACGCTGAAGGAGCGGGAGAGCATCCTCAAGCTGCTGGATGGGTAGCAGGGTGCTCAGGACAGGGCTGCACGTTGCTGCCATCCCCTTATTTCACAGACTGCGGCGGAGGCACCATGAGGAGGAGGAGGTGCCCCTGTCCCCCGCGGGTTCCTGGCACGCCTGTGCTCTGCCTGGGATCGCTGCGGGTTGGGGACAGAAGGTGCACGGTCCTGTGCTGTGACCCAGTGCTGTGACGTTTCACTGGGAGGCTGAGTTCTGCTCCTGGTCCAAGGGCACAGCTCCTGCACACTGCCACCAAACCGCAGCTGGAGCGCGGGGACCTGGTGACAGCGTTCCTGGGAATAGCCGCCCTCCGGTTTCCGCTCCCGCGGTTATTCTGGGCACCGGACCTCTGCCAGGCCCTGGGCTGGGAGCTGTCCCGTGCCTCGCTCGCTCTGGGGACAGCCAGGGACACTGGTGTCAGCGGAGGGAGGAGGGCGGGAGGGGGCAGAGCGGGTTCGGGATTTAGCCGCGGGTTCTGTGGCTGAGAGGGCAATAAAGAATTGGCACTGGCGGTGTTCTGTGGAGTCGTGCGCTGCTGGAGGCTGCGGGGACGCAAGGGAGGGGGCAGGACTCCGGCCCACGCGGTGCCCTGCCCCAGTCTGGGGCCGTCCCCTCTGCGGGATGCCGCCGCTCCGCCACGCGCTCCGTGCCATCCCCGCGGGTTGCCCCTCGCGCTCCCCCGTCATTCACTGCCCCTCCGCAGCCCGCGGTCACGCGTGGGCACTCACGGCCCGCGCCCCCCCATTGGCTGACAGGCGGGCGGGTCCCGCCCCCCGCCGTGACGTCAGCGCTGTCCGGCGGTGCCGCGCCAGGAGGAGTCGCCGCTGCTCCGCGCGGGGCCGGGGCCGGGGCCGCCGCTACCGTCGGTAAGAGCGGGCGGGGCGCGGCGGGGCGGGGCCCACGCGGGGGTAACGCCCGCGCCCACTCGCGGTTGTAGGGTGCGCGACCCCGCGGCTCGGTGCCATGTGCGGGGCTCCCCGCTGCCCGAGCTGCGCGGGCCGTGCCCGCGGTGGGGCTGTGTCACGCGTGGGATGGGCACGGGGGGGCTGCGGCGGCCCGGTATCCCCGCAGCACGGCGTCTCCGCGTCCCCGCCACCCGTCCCCTCCGTCAGCCGGAGCTACATCCCGGCAGCCCCATCCCGTCGCCTCGCCGTCCCCTGCCCGTGGCCCCACGGATGCGGCATCCCGCTGCCGCGCTGCCGCGCTGACGCCCCGTCCCTGTCCCCCTCAAGGCGCAGCCCGCGGCCGCAGGACCACCATGCCGCTGGGACACTCCGCGCCCGGCTGGAAGAAGAGGACCGAGGACATTCGCCGCATCTACGACTTCCGAGAGGTCCTGGGCACGTGAGTCGCAGGTGGCACCGGGCACGGGACGGGCGGCATCGGCTGCGGGATGGCTGCCATCCCCGTGGCATCTTCTGGCCAACGGCGCTGCATGGAACCGGGCCAGCTCAAATATTGGCCCAGGGCGGGGGCCCTGCGGGGCGGCACACACAGAGATAGGCCGGGGACGTCGGGACGTGCAGGGGATGGGCACACGCGGGGCGTGGGGACGCGCAGGGGACGTGGCACTGCCCGCGCCGCGTTGGCCGCGGTGGTCCCGGTGGGTCCCGGTGGCACCGCGTGGCGGGGCCCGGTGCTGCTGAGGCGCCGTAAGGCTCTTAGGGCGGATTACCGGGATAATTACAGCAGGGCTTAGGGCCGGGCTGTCCTCCACCTGCCCCACCTGGGCGCCGCCGCTCCACAGAGCCCACGTGTCCCTGGGGTGAACCGCGTGCCCCCAGCAGTGACACTGCCCGTGTCCCACGGCCCCGCCGTCCCCTCCCGCTCACCATTCCCCTATAAATAGCCCAACTTTCCGCTTGTCACCATAGCAATGTTGGCATAGCAGTGCCCCCCCGGCTCACACTGCTCCCCTTCTTCCAGGGGGGCTTTCTCTGAGGTGGTGCTGGCAGAGGAGAGGGCAACCCAGAAGCTGGTGGCCATCAAGTGCATCGCCAAGAAGGCACTGGAGGGGAAGGAGGCTGGCATTGAGAATGAGATCGCCGTCCTGCACAAGTAGGGGGGCTGCTCTGGGATGGGAGAAGAGGGGTCCTGTGATGCCCCCACCCTAGCGTGGCCCCACTGCCAGCACCCAGCACTGGGTGTTATCAGCACGGCCCTAAATAGCCCGGCACATGGTGCTGCTGTTCTCTGCTCTGCTGCCAGCTGGGGGGGCTGATCCCAGCCATTCTCACCCCACCATGTAGGATCAAGCACCCCAACATTGTGGCCTTGGATGACATCTACGAGAGCAGCAGCCACCTCTACCTCATCATGCAGCTGTGAGTAACGCGTTGGGGGGGCTACTGGATAGGGATCGCCCCTATGAGGAAGGGCTGATAGTGTTGTGTGGCCCTTCAAGGGTGTCGGGAGGGGAGCTCTTTGACCGCATTGTAGAGAAGGGTTTCTACACCGAGCGTGATGCCAGCACGCTGATCCGACAGATCCTGGATGCTGTGCGCTACCTGCACGACATGGGCATCGTGCACCGGGACCTGAAGGTGAGCAGTGCGGGAAGGGGAGGGGGCACGGAGATCAAAACTGGAGGTTCTCTGACATCAGCCCTCCTGCAGCCCGAGAACCTGCTGTACTACAGCCTGGAGGAAGACTCCAAGATCATGATCAGTGACTTTGGGCTTTCCAAGATCGAGGGCTGTGGCAGTGTCATGTCCACCGCCTGCGGGACACCCGGCTATGTGGGTGAGCCTGGGGGGCTCAACACCGGGCAGTGCTTCCCGTGGTACAGCACTAGGTCCCCCCTCACTGTGCTGTCCCTCCAGCCCCTGAGGTACTGGCACAGAAGCCCTACAGCAAGGCAGTGGATTGCTGGTCCATCGGGGTCATCGCCTACATCCTGTAAGTATTCCCCTTCCACACGCTGCGGCCGCACAGGGGACACTGAGTGACCTCCACGCTATCCTCCACACCCACCAGGCTCTGTGGGTACCCCCCCTTTTATGACGAGAACGATGCCAAGCTTTTCGAGCAGATCCTGCGGGCTGAGTACGAGTTCGACTCACCCTACTGGGATGACATCTCGGAGTCAGGTGAACCCGGGGGTCAGCAATTTTGGGGGAGGGTCCTCATGGGGTAGGGGCTCACAGCTGCCCTCCTCTCTCAGCCAAAGACTTCATCAGACATCTGATGGAAAAGGACCCTGACAAGCGCTTCACGTGCGAGCAGGCCCTGCAGCACCCCTGGTAAGGGATGGGAGCACTCCCCCTGGGGGTGAATGAATGGGAAAGGATTGCCTCCCCAAACTGATTCCCTCGCTCTAGGATTGCTGGGGACACAGCCCTGGACAAGAACATCCACCAGTCAGTAAGCGAGCAGATCAAGAAGAACTTTGCTAAGAGCAAGTGGAAGGTGAGCACAGGGC